GCGAGGAGAACGGCACTAAGGGCGTGATCAGAGACGGCTAGGTACATGTACAGAACCTCCCGGGGTAGGGGGCTCACTAGCCTTGGCAAAGAATGCAAGTGCTGCTTAAGCCTCTGGAATGCCGCCTCTGCTTCTTCACCCCATTCAAACCTTGACCTCTTCCTGATTGCCTGGAAGAAATAGAGGCACTTGTCACCTGACCGGCTGAGGAACCTCCCCAATGCCGCCAGACAACCGGTCAACTTCTGGACCTCTTTTACAGTGCGGGGAGACTTCATGTCAATTACCGCCTGTATTTTTTCCGGATTAGCTTCGATGCCTCTTTGGTCAATCAAGAATCCGAGAAACTTCCCAGACTCAACACCAAATACGCATTTCTTTGGGTTAAGCATGACCCGGTGCCGCCTGAGTGTGGTGAAGGTTTCTCGCAGGTCTGCTAGGTGATCCGTCTGTAGCTTGGATTTGACTATCATGTCATCGATATACGCCTCTACATTCCTGCCAATCTGGTTGATAAAAACGGTGTTTATCATGCGCTGGAATGTAGCCGGTGCATTCTTCAACCCAAACGGCATCACCGTATAGCAGAATAACCCCTGATCAGTGACGAAAGCCGTCTTCTCCTGATCTTTCTTCCAGAGGGGTATTTGATGGAAGCCGGAATAAGCATCCATAAAGCTCATTAACGCATGGCCGGCTGTTGAGTCGACTAGGCTGTCAATCTTTGGAAGCGGGTAGCTATCTTTTGAGCATGCTTCGTTCAGATCTGTGTAATCCACACACATCCGCCAAGTACCGTTCGGCTTCTTTACTAGAACGACATTTGCCACCCAATCCGGGTAGTAGCATTGCCTAATGAACCCAGCATCCAACAGCTTTTTGACCTCAGCCGCTGCCGCTTGAGATCTTTCTCCACCATGATCCCTCTTTTTCTGCCTAACCGGCTGCTTTTTGGGATCTACGGCTAGCTTGTGGACAGCAAGATCCGGGCTGACGCCTGGCATCTCTTCCACTTCAAAGGCAAAGATGTCTTTGAATTCCTTCAGCAGCTGGAGCAAGCCTTCTCCCAACCGTTCGAAGGCTACCATCCCGACCTTGACTGTTCTTTCGGGACGGCTGTCATCTAGGACGACATCAAGGCAGTCACCAGCCGGCTGAGGTCGTTGGTCATCTGACCTTTCCCCGGCTAGTGATTGCTATTTCTCCTTTTTGACGGGAGCCAGTTGGTCCGCCTTTCTTTTCTTACCGGCTGCCCTTGGAGCCGGGACTGCTGGGTCGCAGTTATCAATATCTATGGGCTCACCCTTGCCGGCTGCACCCATAGTTGTCTTGACGTCAGAGAGATAGCACTCTCTTGCCGTCTTCTGGTCCCCGCTTAGGGCACCGACTGTACCATCATCCTTTTGAAACTTGACCAGCATGAGGGACGGGATGATGACAGCCTTAGATGCGTTGAGGGTAGGACGGCCAAATATCATGTTGTAGGCGGACAGCTCCTCCACAACCAAAAACCTGACTACCATGTGGCGTCCTTGCCCCTTTTCACCCAGCCGGATCGGAAGATCTATGCTTCCGACCGGATGCACTACTCCACCCCCAAAACCTACTAGTGGGTGAGGAGCCTGGTGCATGGTACCGGATGTGTACTTGAGCTTGGTCAAGCACTGATAACTGATCAAGTCAGACGAGCTCCCGGTGTCTATTAGGATCCGGCCAACCTTCTGGTTGGCAACCTTGCATTCGATGACGATGGGGTCATCATGAGGCCGCCTGACCTTGCCCCGGTCCTTTTCAGAAATAAGGACCTCAGGAAAGATGTCTTTCGACGCCTGGCCCTCATCCACTGAGTTGACTAGCTTCCTGATGTTGTCTTTGGTGCCCCGGATGGTAGGACCCCCTCCGGCAAAACTGCCTGCTATTGTGAAGATGGTCTCTTCATCCGTCTCGGAGTTTACTGGGCCGGTTTTTGCCGCCTGCCCTTTCTTGGCCTGGGTATTACCCTTAGCCTTGGGTAGGTAGGATTTTAGGGCCCCCTCATCTGCCAGACGGTCCAATAGCCGCTTGAGGCTATAGCAGCCATTGGTGTCGTGGCCGACATCCTCGTGGTATTGGCAATACTTTCTCTTGTCCCGTTTATTCACGGGGCTTTTCATTTCAGCCGGTTTGTCGAGAGACATCCGATCTTTGATCTCCAGGAGGATGGTGGAGCAATCTTTTGCGAACTCGTATTTGGGGACATACGGTTCTGACTTCCGCCTGATCTTCTGGGCCGGCTGTCCTGATCGGTCAGCTGCCCAGACCCCTTTTCTCTTTTCTTCCTTTCTTGCCGGCTGATGCTGTTGCCGGCTCTCTTTTTTGTCAGACTTTTTAGAATCTGACGGCTGCTTGATAGCACAAAGCTCCGTCGCCTGTATATAGGCTTCAGCTTCAATTAACGCCTCTTGGAGGGTAGCAACCCTCTTCCGGACGAGGTCAAACTTAAAGGTCGACCCATCCTTCAGACCTCGAAAGAAGTCTGTATAGGCCACTTCGTCTGATAGTCCTGGAATCTGAATTCTCATCAGATTGAACCGTCTGACGTATGACCGGAGGCCCTCCCGGTCGCCCTGCTGTATTGCCCCTAGGTCGAGGCTAGTCTTTTTGGCAGGAATATTCATTGAGAAATTTGACGTAAACAAGTACGCCAAAGTTCGAAAGCTGTTGATGCAACCGGCTGGTAGGTTACCAAACCACCGCTGGGCTATGCCCTTGAGGGTAGCCGGGAAGCATCGACACCAGACGGCATCATCTAACCCCTGAAGGTACATGAGGTTAGAGTAGGCCATTAGATGGTCTTCTGGGTTGGTGGTGCCGTCATAGGCCCCCACCAAAACATTCTTGATCTTAGGCGGCTGTGCCGCCTGGGTTATCTCGGGTGAGAACGCCGTTGGCTGTTCCCCCAAATTTAGCAGGCGCAGCTGCCAGTCCGTGGGTTGGTACGGCTGCTGCGCTTGCCCACCGAAAAGACCCGGTGACATAAAAGGGGATCCACCCAACCCATTCGGTGTGCCGAATAGGCCAGGCTGGATCACTTTGGGTCCAGACCGGGCAGAAGCTTCGCCCGTCTGGCTCCCAGGGTTCGTTCCCGTACGCCTGTGTGAGACGTCATGGAAACTGTCCGGGAAGGTCGACGTTGAGGCCGACGCAGACGCCTGACCTCGCTTCTCTTGGAGAAATGTGCGGGCGTCTGAGAATGTTTTCTTGGAGCCATCCGGCTGTACGTGCCGGATGGCCTTTCGCAGCTCCCCTTGAGGAAAACGGAGTCTGCTCGGGTCAAACCTTAGGCCCTCCCCCTCCTTTGGCTTTGGGTGAGGGGTAGGAACTCGTTCTTTGACCGCCTTCTTTCCAGAAGGCTTCTTGACCGGCTGACCCTTCTTTGGAGTAGCTGACCGGATGAGGCTCTTGATCTCACCCTTGAAACTATTCATGAATGACATGAGTTCGTTTCTTGTAACGGGAGCTGAGCCCTCCACCGTTTGGGTAATTCCAGCCGGTTGCCCGGCTGGGTTGCTGGGAGCAGCTTGGCTGATTTCCCGTTCTCTTTTATCTTTAGCACGAGTGTGCTTCGTTCTGAAGGACCCATCCGGGGCCACATATGTTTCAATTTCGTCTCCACTTTCATGGTCCGTCTGGACCTCAGGCTCGACCACAGGCCGTTTGCCCTGATTCGGTGACACAGTATCAGAAGTCATCTTAGAAGTACTCTCCCCACAGAGGCGCCAAATGTTTCGGGGTTTTTTGATGTGTCCTGCGGGAGAGTTACAATTCCAAGAATGCCCTTCGACGCCTGTGCCTGCAAAATCACGAAGACTCCTGGGGGTAGGAGCTCCGCCTCCGACGATCAAGTTAGTAAAGATACGGGAGGTAGAATGCACGTATTGTTGAAGTTACTTCTCGCGTAATGGGAGAATTCCGCAATTAATATTGCTCGGGGTAGGTGTTTGTCTTTTTGAGGAGTATTCAATGTAAGCAATAAATGTTCAGATGCCCATTAATGAGGGTCCTTCCACTATTTATAGTGGGGAAGGGATGGTTCCCCTTTTAGGGTTTAGAGGACACGTGTCAGCAGAGGATTGGAACCCTGCTGACCAACGGCTGGGTGCCACGCGTCACTAGGCCATTGGGCCACGTGTTTAGGGTATTTTTACCCCAAACAAATGGTGTAGTAATTTAAGAGTATACTTGCAATAAAAGTCTCATAATACAATTTGTCGTTGGGCTTATGCTGTTTATAATACAATCGAAAAATTTGGGCTTCTCAGCCTGAGCCCGTTAATAAAGGACATCTGTGTTTTGATATCGTTTAGCCCATTACAGCTTAATCTCTAGAAATAAAGCGTATTTCTTATTCTCCAATTGTAACTTCATGCTTGAGTAGTTGAGTTAATTACTTTAAGTCTATAATTAATGCTATCAATTATTCTTCTTGATAACTCATCGTTACCTTTTTTTTTTTTAATTAATTTTTTTCTAAAAATTGCGCTGAATGCTTAATTAAGCTCTACTCAGAGTTATGGACTTTTCTTTGAGGAACTAAAGTTTAACTTATTCATACATAATTTGGTAATCATCTATACTGAAGATAATTCTTACCTTATTGTTAATAGAATATAAGTTCTTTAGCAAAGCCTTAAGGTACTCTAAACCTCTCAATAGGGTATCAATTGCTTGTTTTCTTTTTGACATCAACATGTAAACCAAAAATAACGAAAAACTCTATATATTTAACTATATACATTTATTTTTAAGAAGTATAAAAGATGAATAGAAAAAACAAGTACGCAAAATTAAAGTATATATACCTTTAAAGTCATTTTTACCTTTTGTGAATATGAGACATAGTTATAAATAAACCCAAAAACATCAAAATGAAATAAATATTACACCCACATCAAAAAAGAAGTAATTACACAATGGTAGAGTATAAAACATATTTCTAGGCCTCAACCATCAGCTTAAGCTTAGCGTTTAGAAAGAGGAGAGACAATGGTACGACGTTTGCTAGGAAAACAAACAAACAACAAAACACAAACAATTCCAACTCCAATAGGAAACATAACAAGTTTCTCTTTAGTTTCTTGAGATGGCAATGGAAACAAACATTTAACAACATTTTGATCCAACAAAGCAACACCCATAAACACCAATATCCCCATAATTGCATGAACAAAATCCAAAACCCTAATTCGATACTTGGCTGCTTGTTCAGGGCTAAGAGTTACAAAACCATCAACTATCCATATACCTTTAAATGTTGCAATTCCATATCTAACTTTACCACGTTCGTCCCTTACACTATCAGTGAAACACATTATAATACAAGATAAACCAACGAATGCTATGAGGCATAATGTTGTAAGTTGGCTTTGGTAGGTTTCGCAACGGCCTTGGTTTGTTAGAATGGGAGAAAACATTTCAAAGATGAGAACTGAGCCTGAGGGAAGGAGGCTAGATAAGTGGGATGTTCTCTTGAATGTTTTTCTAATGGCTTTTTGGGTTTGAGTTTTTGGTTGTTTTGTTGGTTCTAATTCATTTTCTAGAAGAGGTTTTCTCTGTTGTTGTTGATTATCTAGAGATTCTTGAGCTTCAATTTTAATATTCATGATAAAATTGTACTTGAGAAAGATATATTCAAGTATATGTAAATGTATATAAGGATTACTAGCTAGAAAATTTTTATAGGAGATGGAGAAATGGTACAAATTTATGAAGCTATATATTCTGTTTTATATTTCAAAAATGTAGGTTTTAATGGTTAAAAATGAAAAGAGTAGTATGTCACGGGTCATCTCCCACACCAAGGATGGGCGTCAAGAGGGTCACTAGGCAGCAAGGCAACAATCGGGGCTAGGGGGCTTGCCTTGGTGCTCAGGTAAGCACTTCCCCCTAAAGAGCTTTATATTGCACCTTGCTTAGAATCCTAGTGAACACGCACTTGACAGTAACACAATAATGGGTCGTTTGGAGACCCAAATGAAGTCCAAATGGGCCCAAATTTGGGGGTCCACCGTATTTTGGGCCAAGGAAGACGATGGTGGTGTCAGTTTTCTGAGACAAGGTCCCGAAATACAAGTTTGTGCAGCAGGTAGCCCGGGAAACGTGGGAAGCTTCTAGAAGGTTCCGGAGCTATCTACGGAGTTCTTTCGGAGGAGTATTCTAGAGAGGATGTCTCTAGAATATTCAAGGTTCATCCAGTGCATCTTAGAAGTCTCTAGGGCCTTCTATGTATGTACATTTTGAATGTAAAGTTCTAGAATGTTCTAGGTTAGTCCTTAGCATTCTAGGTAGGAAGCTTGTAGAAACCTCCATGTATGTAGTTCCTAAGGAGGTGGGAAAACTCTAGATCCTTGTAGTCTAGAACCCTCCCTTTGAGGAGGTTAGGAACATTCTAGAGAAAGAGAGTAAGTAGGGTGGAGCACTATAAATAGGCTCCAAGGCATCATTTGTACATATAAGTTGAGAGATCAACAAGTTAAGAGCTATAAGTTGAGAGCAATACAAAAAGCCTTTCTTAAGCACTTGTGTTCTCTTGCAACTCAATCCTTTCCTTCCAACACTTAGAGTGTGAGGAAAACTAAGGCACGAGGGTGCCAAGTAAGTGATCGGGCATACCAGCAAGGGTGATAGCTTGGGTGCTCAATTGTCTACGACACTTAGTCGTAAATTCGGACTAAGGCACTAAGGGTAAGTGCTTAGTTCAACCAAAGGGGATTCGTTAGCACAAAGGGATCGTGCTAGCAAACTTATACTAGCAGCACAAGGAGTTGTGCTACGTGGGCACAAGGAGTAAGTGCCAAGGAGAAAGCCTGACTCGTCTTACGACGGACTGTAAGCGGGTGGCGCACGGTGCGTGACTAGGGCAAAGCAGTCGGCACGTGACAGGTGGTATCAGAGCAAGGCTACGATTTTCGTGTGGGATCGGCATCGTAAATTCAAGGCGTTGCTGTTGGAGCTACGAAAGGACGGTAGCTAGGCAACAAGGTAAGTCGCTTCATTCTTATTGTGGAAATAAGTATGGCTGGCGACAAAGAAGTTCCGGCGAGCCAAGTTTTTCAAGGGGAAGAGGAGACAACAAGGAGGTCCAAGAAGAAGGGAACGAGGGACCCATCGAGGGACCCATCGGTGCCCAGAACCTTGACCTCTGAGTTGGAACCCCGCCTCATGAGGGTAGAGTATACTGTGGCGGACATGCACGATGATATCACACAACTCTCGGACTCCGTAGAGGGGCTCGAAGGAAAAGTGGAGGCCGCACACACTGCTACCCTAGATTTGAGGGACGAGACTCTTGGGCTCGTCAATAGCGCGTTGGCAACAATTCGAGAAGAGGTCGCGAAACTCAAAGAAGAGTTGCTTGGGCAACTAAGGGACATCCGAGCTGAGGTGGAGTCGGTGAAGGAGGATGTCATTTTATGTAGGAAGGCAGCAGTGACCGGGAGTGTCACTATCCAACAGGGGCCAAAGATGGAGGTCCCAAAGCCACAAAAATACCATGGGAAGCGAGACGCTCGAGAAATAGACAACTTCCTATGGGGCGTCGAGAGGTACTTCGACGCAATGAAGATGGATGACGATGCATCAAAGATCAATACCGCCACAATGTACTTGGGCGAGGATGCTGTCCTTTGGTGGAGGCGTCGAGAGTTGGACATCAAGAAGGGGACTTGTTCCATCAGCACATGGGACGAGTTCAAGAAAGATTTCAAGCGTCAGTTCTACCCGGAGAATGCCAAGAAGGTCTCCATGATGAAGCTACGTGACTTAAAGCACACTAGAACAATCAAGGAGTACATCAGGCAATTCACATCCCTCATGCTTGAGATCGATGATTTATCGGAGGAGAACCAACTCATTTACTTCACCGGAGGTTTACAACGATGGGCCCAGCAAGAGGTGGAAAGACGGAATGTTAAAACACTTGCTGAGGCAATAGCCGTGGCAGAGTCCTTGATCGAGATCCCGAGGGAATCGAGAAGGGACAGGGGCAAAAGGGTCGAGGAAAGTGACCAGGAGGAAGAAGAGGCATCGCATCCAAAGGCTAGGTATGCGGATCATGGCAAGGACAAGGCCAAGTCCAAGTGGGAGTCAAAGGGGGACAACCGAGACGGAGGTAAGCCCTCAAAGTCGTTCAAATGTTTCCTGTGTGAGGGTTCTCACCTAGCGAGAAATTGCCCGATGCGGCAAAAATTAAGTGCCATGATCGCAACGGAGGAGGAGTCCGCACCCACAACGAGGATGGGGGCAATGGTCATGAACGAGGACGCCCAACTCGCCAATATGAGGCTCCTCAACACTTCAAGGGTCGAAGATGATGACCTCAAGGGAAGGGCATCTTCGACAAGCAGCACTACAAACATCAAGCAAGGAGGAAGCTTGATGATCGTAAACGGGGAAGTGAACGAGGTACTGACGAGGCTACTTGTGGACACGGGAGCGTCGCACAATTTCTTGGCTAAGGAGGAAGCCAAAGCCTTAGGGGTGAAGTTCACAAGGGTCGATGGCGAGATGAAAGCCATCAATTCAGAGGCCACGCCGGTGTATGGAAGGGCGTGGGGAGTTCCAGTCCGCTTGGGGAAGTGGAAGGGAAAAGTCGACTTCTTAGTGGTCGACATTGATGATGAGGACGTGGTGCTAGGCATGGAGTTCTTGCACAAGGTCCTACCTTTTCGGGTAAGTGATGGCATGATAACCATCACATCAAAGGGGAGCGAGATAGGGATCAAGCTCGCTCAACTCAAGGAGCGGGACGTGAGGGTCTCGACCTTGAAAGCTTGGTGGGCGCCAAGGCAAAGGCGTCAAGGTGCGGTCCATGGGAGGATCAAGGCAACAAACATGCTAGGGACAAGGCATCATGGTGTTCCAAGGGATGGGACAACAAGGCTCAAGTGTGGAGTCAATAGGAGGGACGGGGCAGCGGCGCACAGAAGCACCCAAGGGACAAGTGGTGCACTAGACCGGGTCGCGGGCACGTACTCCAAGGGGCGATCTTGCCGAGGTCGGCAAGAATTTAGGTGGGGGAGAATGTCACGGGTCATCTCCCACACCAAGGATGGGCGTCAAGAGGGTCACTAGGCAGCAAGGCAACAATCGGGGCTAGGGGGCTTGCCTTGGTGCTCAGGTAAGCACTTCCCCCTAAAGAGCTTTATATTGCACCTTGCTTAGAATCCTAGTGAACACGCACTTGACAGTAACACAATAATGGGTCGTTTGGAGACCCAAATGAAGTCCAAATGGGCCCAAATTTGGGGGTCCACCGTATTTTGGGCCAAGGAAGACGATGGTGGTGTCAGTTTTCTGAGACAAGGTCCCGAAATACAAGTTTGTGCAGCAGGTAGCCCGGGAAACGTGGGAAGCTTCTAGAAGGTTCCGGAGCTATCTACGGAGTTCTTTTGGAGGAGTATTCTAGAGAGGATGTCTCTAGAATATTCAAGGTTCATCCAGTGCATCTTAGAAGTCTCTAGGGCCTTCTATGTATGTACATTTTGAATGTTCTAGGTTAGTCCTTAGCATTCTAGGTAGGAAGCTTGTAGAAACCTCCATGTATGTAGTTCCTAAGGAGGTGGGAAAACTCTAGATCCTTGTAGTCTAGAACCCTCCATTTGAGGAGGTTAGGAACATTCTAGAGAAAGAGAGTAAGTAGGGTGGAGCACTATAAATAGGCTCCAAGGCATCATTTGTACATATAAGTTGAGAGATCAACAAGTTAAGAGCTATAAGTTGAGAGATCAACAAGTTAAGAGCTATAAGTTGAGAGCAATACAAAAAGCCTTTCTTAAGCACTTGTGCTCTCTTGCAACTCAATCCTTTCCTTCCAACACTTAGAGTGTGAGGAAAACTAAGGCACGAGGGTGCCAAGTGAGTGATCGGGCATACCAGCAAGGGTGATAGCTTGGGTGCTCAATTGTCTACGACACTTAGTCGTAAATTCGGACTAAGGCACTAAGGGTAAGTGCTTAGTTCAACCAAAGGGGATTCGTTAGCACAAAGGGATCGTGCTAGCAAACTTATACTAGCAGCACAAGGAGTTGTGCTACGTGGGCACAAGGAGTAAGTGCCAAGGAGAAAGCCTGACTCGTCTTACGACGGACTGTAAGCGGGTGGCGCACGGTGCGTGACTAGGGCAAAGCAGTCGGCACGTGACAGGTAGCTATATTATTTAACAAATTAATGCTTAAAATGGAAACTCCTTGCTGGATTAAAGTTTTTCATCTCGCACGCATGTAGCTCAATTAGTGATCGAAGTTTTTGTTAAGAACTCAAGTTGTTAATCTATTTATGAGGTGCTTGACTGTAACATTCACAACGCTTTTAA